ACCCTACTTCAAGGACATGGTACAACTAAGAAACAGAAGAGGAAAAAGAACTGAAATACACCAGTAAAGTGGTAGTTGACGAAGAAAGAAGAAGAAGAATTCCAGACTGTAAAAAGCAAGCTTCTAGAACCCCCTAAACTTGGATTTGCAAATTACAAATTACCATTCATTTTACATACAGATGCTAGAAGTTTTGGATTAGGGACTGTTCTCTACCAGGTCCAGCAAGGTACGAAAAGAGTGATAGCTTATGCCAGCAGAGAATTGAGGCCAAGCGAGCGGAACTATTCAGCTCACAAACTGGAGTTCTTGGCACTCAAATGGGCGGTCAGTAATAATTTTCACGACTACCTCGATGGTACTTCTTTTCAAGTGATCACTGACAATAACCCCCTTACATATGTGCTCTCTAAAGCCAAGCTCGATGCTACCAGCCAAAGGTGGGTTGCTGCTTTAGCAGGATATGATTTTACAAAAGCATACAGACCTGGTCAGCAGAACAGTGATGCAGATGGGTTATCAAGGAAGCCAGAGCTTTTCTCTGATGCCATTAAGGCCACAGGCCAGTCTGTATTGTGTGGTGTTCCTTACTGCCAGACTATTATAGATGACTCTTTACCAAATTCTGCTTCTTTTGAGACTATAAAATCCCAATATCTATGCGACATTAACTGGAGAAAAGAACAATAGGAGGACAAGTATCTAGCAAGAGTTATAGAGCTGAAGAACAAGGATTTTATCCAAATAGAGTGAACATGAAAAACGAAGATTAATCAGTCCAGAGATTATTTTAAGGAAAGAAGGAAACTTTATCTGAAAGATGGAATTCTCTACAGGAAAGCAATTATTGACAAAGAGGTAAGTCAGCTGATGATCCCTGAGGTGTATCGAGAAATAGCTTTTCAAGGAATTTACAGAGATACAGGTCATCCTGGAAAAGAGAAAACTTTTTGGTTAGCAAGTCAAAGATATTTCTGGCCAGGGTTAGAAAGGGGGATAACTTAGAAGATAGAAAATTGACCTAGATGCATAAGACGCAAAACTCAAGCAAAGCCTTTTGCTGAGTTAGTCCATATTGAGACCACACATCCAATAGAATTGGTGTGTATTGACTTTTTGAGTCTTGAGAAAAGTACAGGAGGGACCGAGGATATTTTGGTTATAACTGACCATTATACGCGCTTTGCACAGGCCATACGATGCCGTAACAAGAAAGCTACTGTGACAGCTAAAGCCCTTTATGAGAATATCTTCCTTCTTTATGGATTATGGATTCATTATGGATTTCCATAAAAACTGCACAATGATAAAGGCAAGAAATTAATTTTGAGTCCAAAGTTATAAAAGAACTGTGTTAGCTGTAAGGTATTAGAAAAAGTCGTACCATATCATATCATCCTATGGGTAATAGATCTGCAGAGAGGTTTAACGAAACTATCTTGAAGATGCTGGGTACCCTGGATCCCAAACAGAAGGCAGGCTGGAAACAGGCTGTTGCTCCTTTAGTTCAAGCATATAACGCTACCAAGAGTAATGCAAAAGGTTTTTCACCACATTTCTTGATATTTGGCTGGAATCCAAGATTACCCCTTGATACCTTCCTCGGCCTTGATCCAGGAAATAAGGCAGATATCAATCCCAGGGGATACGGGGAAAAACTTCAACAAAGGATGAAGCCAGTATATGCCATTGCATCTGAGGAGGCAAGAAAAGCAGGAATTAAAAAACAAAGAAAGGTATGATGCCAAAGTGAAAGAGACAAAGTTAGAGCCAGGAGATAGAGTTTTTGTTAGAAATGTTGGTTTAAAGGGTAAGAAAAATTTAGCAGACAAGTGGGAAGAAACCATTTATGTAGTAAAAGAAATGCCAAACCCAGACGTTCCAGTGTTCAAGGTAAAGGCTGAAGGTAAAGGGGGAAGAACAAGGACTCTGCGTGGGAACATGCTTCTTATTCTGGATTTCAAGAGGGGAAGTACTATCTAAACCTCGGGAAAAAATTATTTAAAACATGCAAGGAAAGAGAGCTCAGAGACACAAAAGCCAGGAGTAACAACATCTGATTCATCAGAAACAGAGTCTGAGAGTGATGTTGAAGATTGGACACTTAGAAGAGTATTGAGAACAAGGGCAAGGACCAACCTGAACTGCTATCATCTATCCAAGGGGTTTCCTCAGTAGTGGATGAAGGTTACAGTTATTCAGGTTAGTCAAAGTCAAAATGAACTTAATAATTGTAATTATTCTCTATCATTTCAGTCTGCAGACTTTGATGAGTTTAGCCAGAGTACAAATGAAGCAAGTCAGAATATAGAGGCAGATATGTCAGAGAGAGTTCTACCCATAAGACGATCTACCAGAATTAAGAAAAAGCCAGACAGATATGGTGAATGAACGAGCCAAGGAAAATAGACACTAAGAGTAAAATGATAAGTGAATTCAAAGACTTCTTCAGTGAAAATAGTGTTTTTTTTCATTGTTTTTATGACTTAAGTAAATATTTATTCTGAATAAATGAATCTATGTGTGACATTCAGTGATTCACTGATACATGTTGTTTATTGTAAAGATAAACAATTGATACTGCAATCATGCATTATTATTTAATTGAACCCATCATCATTTGGTATTTGATGAAATTAATATTTAACTTGAGTTTGACTTGAACATATTCAGTTGATAGTGGTTGGTTCAGTTGATATGATTCTTTGACAGTGATGTTGAGGTCTTATATGTCAAAGTTTATTGGCAGGTTCTGTGTTCAGTGTCAGTAAGTTGTGTTTTGGCGCTGCATTAAGGGAGTTAGAGGATGTTTGATTATTTTGTTTGGTTTGATTTTATTTCCAGGAGTTTGCTGGATTAATGATTTTGTTGTACATGTATATTGAGTTGATTCAGTACTGTAAGTTTAAAACATTGCCTGATATTTAATTTCAGAGATGTCAGGAGCCATTTAATAAAGAGGGGATGTGTAACCAATGTAAGTAATTAAATGTTTCAGTTTCAATGTGTTATTTTATAATTATTTCTGTTGTGTGTGTTTTACCTTTGTGTTGTCCATGTGTGAATGTCCACGTGTGAGTATTTGTGTTTCCTTGGTGTGACATACTTGACCATTTCCGGTTTGACCAGTTCTATTTCTATTGATAACTTTTTACTAACTTTCTCGCGACTATATGTTTTCCATACGGCATAAATGTTATATTATATTAGAGCTGATTAACAGTGGTGCTTGGTAAACATATTTATTTTATATACATATTTCTTATTATCTTTACAATTAAAAGTAAAGTCATCAGGTATTTGTAAATGTTTATTATTTATTATGATTTTATTTCAGGTTTTTCTTATATATATTACAATACTTTAAATCTTGGTCAAACCTTACTACTGACTTATGTCTTACTGAAGACCCTAGAATCTATCGACCTGGTCTACACTGGTAAAAAAAATTGTTTATCTGAATGAAGAAAATGACGCTTATTCAAAGATATGCAGTTGTGTTTGGCCAACAAAATTTAGACACATTAAAACAAGTTTACACCCTTTACCTGAAAAGTACCTGGAACTAGTTTGTGCTGTCTAGGAAGTAATCGTCATTTTACCGTGAATGCATGTACATTGTAATAAAAAAAATATCAACTTTGCCTTTATATCGTAATGAATGAAAAATATTCATCAGCTAAGAATCAACACCCAGCACTTCTTATAATACAGTGCTGCTATCCTATAAGTTGACAATCCTATCCTATCCTATCGTGAATCCTGCATCCACAATCCTATCCTGTGATTTCAGTCTAATCCTATCCTATCCTATCCTGCTACTTTCAGTTTTTTAATATTTAGGAGTTAATTTGACAAACCGAAAAAAAAAATAATAAATAAAAAAAACAATAAAATGACCATTATATAAAAATCAGTTATAATTATGGATTTTATTTAATATGTTTTAATGATAAAAAATAATCGAGATCGACATCCATTAATTCCCGACACCCCGCACGAATTAATATTCGAGTACCGAGTTAAAATGTAAACAAAGGGACTGTAATAAAACAAAGGCAAGTACTGATCTAGCGAACGTGTAAAGAAAATAAGCTTTCAAAAAATTTATAGAAAAAAAATTATAATCCGACTTTTTTTAATTTAATTTCACATACTAACAATGATCGAGAGACGTCACGGTATTTGCGATTTCTTTTCGAATTTATACACTTTGATAAATAAATGGAGTTAAAGTTAGAGAGAAGAAATCGTGGGAAAAGGGGGGGGGGAACAACAACTAAGACTTCAGATACTTTTCTAATGTTATGATTATTAATAAGTAGACTAAATGAACAAAATTTAAGCTCTTTAATTATGAGAATCAGACTATTAATGTCTATACCTTCATACTCATGTAGATCCAGAAAGAAGATACATGTATGACAAGACCATAAACCGAGAACAGACATTTAGAATATCATGACTTTTATTCATTAAACATGTAAAAATTATTTAAATGTATGATTAAAATTTGTTTTATATTCAATGTTTAAAGTTATTCTTGTTTGAGATGTTCAGTTCAGCATTGTTTGAATTTGAATATTTTACAAATATGCAAAAACTTTATCATGTTTGCTAAATAAAAATCAAGATATTCAAATTGTTAAATTTTCTTATTTTACTTCACTTTGTTTTTAGTTTATGGTCAGTTCAGTGTCATGCAAATGTATTTCAATAACCATATTTTTATGAATGTGAATTTAATTTATGTTTAACAGAAAACATTTTCATAAATCTTCATAGATAGATTGACAGCAATAATTATTGCAGTGAACACACACATATTCCTTCTTGTAAAACATGTATATGAATTCACAGTAGTTTCAGTATCTATAAGCCATATTTAAGTAAATTTTGTTTTTGACCTTGACATTTGATCTTGAATGTTATTCAGGGTCTAAATGAGGAACAAAAATGCTTGACCAAGTTGACAATATTTATTCAGGATAATTGCCTCTTCAGTGTTAAATATATATATTTTGGGCCAAATAAATCTCATCTACAATTTTTTTTATCTACAATGTATAACAATTGAATGTTCCATTATGAGACAAATTCATCAGAAGTATACAGGTATTTCAATGCCAAGCTCACAGATACATGTACATGAAATCTTTTTAAATTTAAGTTTATCATTGTCTTTTTCCAATCGTATGATGTTTTACATGCATATGATTTCGCCTCCTTGTCCATCGCTCAAATTGAATTTCAAATGTCAAAGTTTGTGTCAAAGAGCTAGTCATAAGTAACCGAACAGTTTCAAAATTGTCAACAATGCACAGAAAACAAATACTTCACACACTGATCTCCTTAATAAAATCATCATGATTTCAGACTCTAGGGGGCTCTTGTTTAGTGGTTTGAACATCTTTCATATTTATTCCAGCAGCAGATGAGATGAACTGCAATATGTACAGCAGCAAATATGCAGGATCGTCCTAAAAAAACCCAATTATTATCATGATTATAACAATATATGCATGTAGATTGTGCATTTTTGTCATATACATTATACATTAAAACTGTATTTTATTGTGATTATCTTTCTCATTTCATGTACGACTGGCTGAATTTTACCTTTTTTCTCTCCCAGAGTAAAGCATTTAAAGAAATCAAGCAAACTCAAATCTTATACTGCAACTTCATAGTCATATCTTAATTAAACAATCATAGTTTACTTGTAAATTGTAATTCATTTCATCTCGTCAACTTGTTAACTAGTATGAGTACATTTGTTTGTTTTTTTTTTCTCTATTTTGAATTCTAATGCTAGTTTTAATCTATTTATGTTTTTTTGTTTGTTTTCTTCTTTGCTTAAAATTTGAATAAGAAAAAATTATGAAAATACATATAACATGATGATGACCATGTCAGATGACCAGAACAATAACAAACTGTTTTCAGTTTTACTCTTCTTTTTTTAAAGAAGAAAAATCACTTATTCAAAGAATCTACACAGAAACTTCATCTCAACTCTGATAATGATATGTATGTATTATACTGATACCCAAGCATAAACACATGTTAATAATCATACCTACTTTTCAAATGTAAAATCCTTTTTTCCTCACAAAATATTTTGATGAGGGCAGGCAAAACCAAGTATCATTCTCTTCAATGAAGAATAATGAATGATTAATATATAATTCATAACCCAGAATAGGTCATACATACAATGTACATGTAAGTGCTGAGTTGGCTTATAATACAATTTAAACAGTAGCATAAGATATGATTCTGTCTTTATTTTATTATAATTGCACTCAAATAAAAAACAAAACAAAACAAACCATTTTTTAAACCACAGTAGGGAAATAATATAGTAATAACAAACTGAAAAAGGCATAATACATCTTATTGTTTTAGGACACATTGAATCATGACAGAGAATTTGTAAATTTTTAACCCTCTCCCCTTCCTACACTACCTATTTTTCCACACCCGATTTTTGTCTATGTTATAATAGAATAAAATTTTGATAGCTCAAGTCATTATAACATTGTTAAAAGGGGGGGGGGGGAAATGTATAAACATGCACACATGGTACATGTTACAGTGTGTAGTATACTTACATGTTCTTGCACCAAACAACTGCGATATCGATCTGTTCAAGTCCACCATTGGCGGTTTGTGTAGAATTATCCAGACAAACAGAGCACATTTAACACAGTTACATGTTATTGAACTTTAAAACAAGTAGGAATTGGCTTAATCATCCAAACATGCTGAAGAAAATAAGATCTCTTGATGTCCGAACTCTTTGTTGTTTACATGTGAAGATTCTTCCGGTAATCGTTCACGGTTAAATCGTACGCAATGTCACTCGAAGTTAATTATTAATTTTTGTTAAAATATAAATATTTCTTTTGTAAACGTTTTAAAACATATTCTGTTTTTGTAATTAATTCTGAAATATGAATCAACCTTTACTCGAATCTGATTGGCTGTAGGATACAGGATAGGATAGGATAGGATAGGATTGGATTAACTACTATGTGTTTCTATCGTGAATCCTCAATCCTGAATCCTATCCAAACCCATCCCATGTCAACTTGTGGGATAGCAGCACTGTATACTTGATTTCAGCTTAAACTACATGCACATTGTACTTTTAGAGTTTATTGGTAATAAAGTACGTTGAACCAATTTTGTCATAGCATTATGTAATATTAAGTAATATTAACGAAATATAAAGTTTTTTTTTTTTTTTTTTTTTTTTTTTTTTTTTTTTTAAAGTACATATAAATATAATTATTCATTTTATTGATTACGAAATATAAACATTAATAAAAGAAAATACATATACCAGTCCAAACAAACTTTGTTAACAATATATGTTTTATATTTCCATTATTATTCATCAGCCAGGATAGCCTAGTGGTTAAAGGGTCCTTCAATGCAAAGGTCGTGATATCGAATCCTGTTTGGGGCACAACGGCTTTTTTTTCTTTATTGCTTATTTATTTTTTTAACTTTTCTTTCTTCTACATAATATTTGCCGAATTAACAAATGTGTGTATTTGAGATTTTTGACATAATTTACGAGAAGAAATTAATATAAAAAATAATATTTTACCCATAAAGCAGTTTAATAGACTGCGTAATGGTGACTTAATGGTAGCTTAAAGGAGGTTTAATGGTAGCTTAATGGAGGGTTGTCATTAAGCACTTTTAAGTTTGGCTTAATGGTGGCTTAAAGGTTGTCTAGAAGCTTCCATTAAGCACCTTAATGCCACCATTAAGCTACCTTTAAGCATTCATTAAGGACTTTGAGATGGCTTAATGGTAATTTAATGATGGTGTATTTATTACTTAAAGATAGCTGAAAGGTGCTTAGTGGTGACTTAAAGACGACCATTACGCCATCATTAAAGACCTATAAGCCACCATTAAGGCAGGCTTAAAGGAAGTGTTTCATCTTGTGCTTGTGTTGACTATTACATGACTGCTACTTTTCAATGCTGATCCTCATGCTATCTGGAAGCTGATGCTTATTTTGTTGATGCTGATGCTGACACAGGATGAAAAGCCAGGTTTCCCAAATTTGGAAACCCGATGGAAACATATGGGAATCGTGACATCAGTGGTTTCCACATAGATTCCCGATATGGAAACAATCAACCTGTGGTTTCCCATAAGTTTCCCAATATGGGAAACCGTGGAAACATGCAGTAGTGGTTTCCACGTAGATTCCCGACATGGAAACAATCAACCTGTGGTTTCCCGTAAGTTTCCCAATATGGGAAACCGCGGAAACATGCAGTAGTGGTTTCCACGTATATTCCCGATATGGAAGCAATCAACCTGTAGTTTCCTGCATGTTTTCCAGATATGGAAAACACGTATGCTGTGGTTTACACCTATTTCCCCGATAATAGACATTTTGGAAACGTGTATCAAAAGAATAATAAAAAAACTGTTTGAACATTCTGTGACAAATAAAAGATTTTTTTGACATTTTAGTCTCGGTAAAACTCATAAAGACACGTGAATTGGAATTCGTAGTAAGAGAAGATTTAATACAACTTTTAATTTTAGAAAAATCAGTGTAAACTGTTCAGATAAAATTCAATCATTGCGCTAACCCTTGTAATCGCGGGCACCTGTTTTCACGTGCCACAGGTCGCGAAGACACCTGCGACTGTGTATTTTTTGTATATTCTATGTGATTTGAGAGGTTTTCTACCTAAAGGGAACAATGGGCTGTGGTCAAGCATGTACATACACATAGTCTCCACAAACTCAGTTTGAATTTAGGTGATAACTGCTGGCCATTGATTTGATTTGAAAAAAAAAAAATAATTTAAATTATCAATAAGACCACAGAATATTGATAAAATAAGCTACATTAATTTTAAGATGTTCAATGAGAGAAGGAAAAAAAGAATTGTATTTTATTTTTTCATTATACTGATTAAAAAACAAAATTTCCTAACCGTTTAAAAATTATATATACTTTTCTATCGGTCTAGAATAAATCTAAATTCTCGTTATGTGTTAAATCATAATTCTTTTTTAAACAAATTTGTAAGTGCATAGATAAATGAAATAAAATTTCTTAATCGGTAAATAACGAATTGTCCTTGTTTGACATCAATGTAAACTTTGAATATTGAAAACATAGAAAGAATTGTTAATTATGAACTTTGTTGCCTGCTTAATTCGCAAATTGTTTATGAGAAAGGATGCAGGTGGATCTATTATACAACATAAGAACTAAATTACTAATGTTTTGTGTGAAATTCGTATATAGTCCTCTACAAAGACATTGAAAAGATAACACAGCAGAATAATATTCATATACAAAATTAATGAGTGTTAACTAAATAACTTATTTTTATATATATCTGTACACAGACCCTGATATAGTGAATGTCTTCATTTTTCGCAGGAAATTACAATAATGTTGGTCTTAAATGCATACATGCACGTATATTTAATTTAGCCATTTTGTACACAAAGACCAATGCTGGCTCTAAATAAAGAAAAGTCTATGATATTTATATAACATGATTTTCTTTTCCTTAAGAACAACGTCTTCTGAAGAACTGCATGCTAAGGCAATTCATTGAAGAAGAAAAAATTATTAATTTTTGTACACGTAGATGCTTAGCGAAAACTTAATATTTTTAAATCGTGTATTATGTTAAACGGAAGGTTACCCCTTTCAAATTTAAGCCCCCCCCCCCTCCTTCAAAAAATGGAGAGAAAATAGTTTCTTTCGATATTTAGGTATAATGTACTGATGTGGTGATTGTCAATACTTCTACATGTACAAACATTTCTTTATACATGCCGTCCATTTCTTGATTTTTATACCCTACATGTACCATTACTTATTTAAAAAAATGCACTTAAAACTGTCTACTCAAACCACAGGCCTGTATAATTTCAGTTTGGGGCACAAACTTTACCAGAAAGTTCTTAACTAGCAAACCTTACTAGAAATTACCAGAAAAAAGTTATATATGAAAGATACAGGGCGGTACTGGCTGAACGGCTAAAGCCACGTATACAGCCCTGCACATCAACGAGTATACACCGGGCTTATTTTCCAACAAATCAGATGATCAAATATTGACAAATTATTACCAGTCACGACTAAAATTCTGAACGCAATGGTCATGATTGTAGGTTACCTACAATAATTCTGAGCTTATTTTAATTATGTGTTTCAGGTCAGTAGCAACAGTTTCAAAAGGTGGGGGGGGGGGGGGGCTTCCATTAAAATCTGACAAGCCAAAAAAAATATAAATAAAAAAATAAGAAGAAGAGCATAACCATTTACTTTCACCCCCTGCCCCCCCCCCCCCTCCCGCATTCTACGGGCCGGTGTTTTCCAAATTAAAATACTGTTTTCCCTACCTTTGCTTAGATATTGGTTCGTTTTTTTCACCTTGTGTTTACTCTCTTTTTTTATAAATCAATTTTCAAACTTAATTTGAAAAATTCTGATACATTATAACGGTGAGAATTATCTTAACTAAAGGCAAAGATGTTTGAAATAAAATATAGCAAATAGAAAAAAGTCCAGCAATTTCGTCCACTGATTATTATTGATATCAGGCTAAAATCGAAACCAAAAAAAGGAGGGGGTTCAAAATAGTATCTAAAGCCGAACAAGAGAAAAAAATCATCAAATCTTTATTATTCTTGAACCGTCCTTGCTGGTAATTAAATTATTTTGTCTTGATTTTCACAAGTGTTTACTAGTCTAACATACCCTGATTCCTTCTACTAACTAGCAATTTTTGACACCAAACTATTCCATCATCACTAAAAATAAAATACTGTTCTGTATACATGTCATGTAGTCCATTTGCATGCCAAATGCAGATCGAAATTTACGGCAGACTTCAAAGGAAAACATTCTTGTCACAAAATAATAAACAGCTGATAAAGAGTCATCAAACGTTTAATTTGAGGGGCGCAACAGGAAATAAGCTTTGTTTACTATACTGCAAAAATATGTTTAGGGACGTATGGCATATCCACCCCCCCCCCCCATTTTCTACGGTCCTCAACTAATATTCATTTTCTGACGCTTCAAATTTTAAAACATGTTATACATGTATAAAGGTTTAACATCTTTCGTTGTGACATTATACATTAATCAGAATAATTTAATGAAAAAGTAGTGGGGGGGGGGGGGGGGTAACCGGACATTTTCTGTTTGGATGGGCACCACGTACCAAGCCCCACCCCACCCCCCCACCCCCACCCCAAGTCAAATAATTTGAAAGGTCACACCAGAAACATAAAATATCTCTGGTCACCCTCAGAAAACTGCTTTGTTTTCTATAGTATACTAATTATCAGCAAATTTATTGAGGAACACCCCCTTTCTATGATTAGTGAAGAACTTCACTAAGGATATGAACTCATAAATTAATCACCGTAATAGGAAATTATATTTATATATAAAAACTTTTATTACCCACTAACATAATTAACGTAAACAGGTTCCGTTTCCCATAATGCATCGCTCTGCAGAGGCTTTAATTTCATTGGTCAATTTTCACGAGGCGCCATTTTTGGAGTTGAGCAAGACGGAGATGGACTCGGGTGTAAGGTGCAAATGTGAAAAGTTAACGATGTTTTCGCCACCCAGTGTCTTTAAAACTATGAAAAATGCAATGATCAACAACCAAGGATTAGTGTACGTATATTTTTATATACTTTTTACGGTAAATAATACTAATATTGGGCAGAAGAAATCTTTCCCATCGAAGACCACATTCGTTTTG